CAGAATTTATATCAAATGAATGTTGCAACAAGTATCTGATACAGGATCACTAAAACCAGAAAGCACACACAAAGGATGGAAGTGCTACACAGACATGTATATATGTATGTAATTATGCATTTATATGTGTAGACGTGTGTGTTTGTGTCTGTGTGTGTGTGTCTGTATCAAATTAGATGTAGGTGGAGATGTATCAAGTGACATAAGAAGACAAGCTAACAGGAAAGTAAGTAAACAAATTACAGATGCAAAGCATGCGACTGAAATTGATCTGAGATTATGCATTCTGTTGATCAAAATAATGCAAGTCCGAACACTGATTTTGAAATATTTCCTGCATTTTTATCCAACCTTTTAATTTCAGAATAATTAGCAATTTATTATACCAAACTATGAAAGAAGAAGCACACCAATGAAGAAGGAAATTTGCAAAACCCAATTGCAAGCATATCTCAAGTTCTAGGGGGGAAATGTATCTCAATGCAGAGTAGCAACCCGTAAACATATACTTGAAAGAAAGCTAAATGTGATAACTGGAGAAAATACACACCACGGCAATAACAATGAAAAGATCATCCCAGTGTTCCTCATCTACTAGTTGAACTGCGACACTGTCACTTCCATCCTCCTCCTAGATGCATTAAAGAAGAAGAAAATATTAGAACCAGTTACTCAAAAGGAGACTACCCTTCTTGATGGAAGGAAATACAGATGAACTATTAAAACAAATAAAGAAACAACTTACTTTTCCCATAATCCACTTAACAAATCCACCAAACAAACTCCGACAAGCACTGCCTGAACCTTGCCTATATGAAAGAAAAAAAAACTCAATAGAACATCACTCAGACTTACTATTAAAATTCTTGCACCCCTTTAAAACGAGAGTTGAAGCAATTTTAAAATATAATCCATGGAAAGCATAAGGGAAATGAATCGAAAGAGATGAACCCAAGATAGAACGAGGGAACCACTAGTAATTGCATATTGAAACCATAATACTACTAATAATAAAGTGAAAAGGGCCATACCTTGCTATAGCAGAAAGTTGACTCTCATCTTCTTTGACATTCATCAGCTTGGCAAGTGCGAAAAC